CAGTTCTGAAGACGGGAGTAAATATCCCGAAACGTCAACTAACTTGTTAACATGTAACGTTGATAATAGAAATATACTCAATTGTTACCAATTGGAAGTTATTATTGCCAAATAACTAAAAATAGGATTATCTTATTTTATTTTTTATGTAAAATTCACACAGAAATTAATCATTGATTGTTTTTCTATTCAATAATAGATCACTTGCTAATACTTATTATTAAAATAGAAAAAAAATCTCAATATAATGTTTCACCCTCCCCCTTTTTTTTTTTTTGATGCAAATGAAAATTTGGAATATGAAACTAAATGGTTCTATTGCCAATGTTATTTTCCTTCCTTGAAGAATAAGTTGAGAAGATTTATTGTATAATTTAGTAATAATCATTATGTTCTTTCACATAATGTTATGGTCTTATATTTCAACTTATTAAAATGAATCTGCCTAGTAGCCACTCTTAAAAATAAAAGAGGCATTAAATAATTCAGTAATAAAGACATTAAATAAAAAATATGTTGCATTTATGTTTTAAGGCCAATCTCCGGAATTTATGGAGTCCGATCTCCACTATTTGGTCTTAGTCCGCTGTTGCCAATCCCACTACTGACTCCAAATCATCATGTAGAAAAAAATTTCAATCATTACTATTAATATTATTAGTTAATGCATATTTTTAAAATTAGATACACATTTTTAGCCTGTTATAAAACTAATTTATATTTCAGTTATTTTAAACATTATAATTTTAGATAAAAAAAAAAAAATTGGAGTGAGCAAGATTATATTAACATCTGGTTGGATCTTATATTTCTACTACTGTGGCAGAGTGAGTATCAACTCATATAAATGAAATTTCTGCAAGAATAATTTATATAGAATGGTTATGACCAGAGTATGTACTATAATTTTTAATTTTTGTCAAAAAATAAATTATTCTTAATAGATTTTTTTTTTAGGCCAACTATGAATGATATGTAATAATTAACATGTATACTAATGACAGATATATTATTTTGAATATTTTAATATTATTACTATTGTTATACCAATTAATTTAATTTTTCTTATAACAAAATAAAATGACCTTTATTCTTTAGATAAAAAAATCAGCCAGTAACAGTTATTAATTACCATATTTTTTTCATGACAATCTTTAATTTTTTAAACCATGTTTGTGTATCATTACAAAATAATAATGACAAATGAATCAATATTTTTGAGTAATAGAAAAACAATTGTCTATTTTAATATTGCATACATAAAAAAACAACTGTATTTATTAAAAAAAAAAAAAAATTGAGGATTGACATTTGAAAATTTACCCATAAGAGGTATAAATTCATAATGATGGGATTATAAAATATAAGTCAGTTTTTAAAAAAATATTATTTCTATTATAAACCTAACAGCCTGGGTGGAAAAGATTGGTTCAGAATTATTCAGATCACACCTTGTACTCTTTTACCCAAAAATATTTTTCTAAATAAATATTTCACATTCTTAGCTAATGATAGGCTAGTTTATATAGACAATAAAATTCTAGAATATAGACCAAACAGAGATTATTCTACTTATCATATATTATTTTACTTAGGATGTAACTTATATCAGTATATTTCAAACGATTTTTTATTAGTTAAATGTTGGTGCTAATAAATGATTTTTATACATAAATGCGATTAAAATTTTCCATTATTTTGACAAATTTATGTTTTACATCAAAACGTTATTTTAAAATATGATACTAAAAAATCTTGAATATAATATAATCAAAAAACAGTAATTAAAAAATATTTTTTTAAAAGAAAAAAAAATGGAGTTTTATATAAATGAAAATTCTTCATTATTGAAATTTGATAAAGAAAAAAATCCACAATTTCAAAAAATCTCTAGTATTTTATAAAATTGAAAATATGATTTCAAAAGCAATTTTATCATTAACCCTAGCATGTTCCTTTTTTTATTATTCAGGGGAGAAATTTCAAATTTACTTTAATTATAGAAATATCTCAAGAACAGAAAATGTATTCATAAGATGTGTATTTTGAATCAAGAGAAACTATTCAAAATAGTTTGAAATGAAACTATTATACAAAGGCAAACTTTAACATTACCACATGCCTAGATAGGTACTTAGATATGAGACTGAATGGGACAGATAATTTGAAAAAAATAGTTTTCTAGAAAATTCAGTTTTTATTTTTATTTTGTACTTAGTTCATATTGATTTATGGAAAAAAAAAAAAAATATTTTTCGCATTAGTGTTTGCTGGGCTATAAAGCACAAGGTCCTCGTACAATTTACTATTTCTTAGGGAACAGAGGTAAGCATATGCCTGTACATGCATTTGCTTAAAATGTATTTTACTGTTGCAAAGTTGGCAGTTGTCAGTTTGGACTATATCAATCCTATTCGGATGGACTTGAAGGTATGTAGGTATCCTGTATTTTTTCATGAGTAAATAGTCACATGATAAGGGTAACTACTTTGCCTAGATTTTTCCATAATTAGCTTCTCCCAAATTTTGCTCTTAACATCTTTATGGTGAATTCTGCCTCACTGCTATTTAAATATAAAAGTGTTTGCTATAAAGTGTCTTTTTAGTACTTATTATTGCTTTTAAAAAGTTGGTATACCCTATACACAAATATCTGTTTTTCCTGCAAATCAGGGCAAAAGCTTTTGGAGGATTCAAAGGTATATTCTGCTATCTTTACTTTAACTATTTAAAATAATTTATAATTGCAGGATTTGAAATCTGTAATTATTTTTTTCAAAATATCATGTAATAATTATTATATTTGATTTTTAATTTAAAAATCATGCCTGAATTATAAATAAAAATTTAAATTGATCTATGACGTTTATTGATTTGATCAGAAATAATGATTACTCATTGAGTGATATGGTTTTTCAAAAATAATGCGATTAAATTGTGATAAAAATTACCTTTTACACACAAATTAAATTAAATGTTAATAAGTATGTATACATTATTAATGTACACATTTTTAAAATATAATATTTCTGAAAATTGCTTTAATTGTACACACTGCATATGTATATATTTCTTTTTTTTTTAGGCCAAAATTTCTAATGAATTTTGGAAATAACGATGTTCTTCTCTAATATTCTCCATCTACTACTCCAGACTCAAAATATGTCATAGAGATTACAAGAAATTTATATTTCTGATTTAAAAAAGTATTACTCAAGAATTATTAATACTGTTAATTGTAAACATTTTGATCAAAAATAAAGATCACGTTATGATTTTTATCTTTTATGATCAAAAATAAAAATCGCTCTGAATAAAAATCATCGAATGATTTTTAAAAATTTTGTTTTTATTTTTTGAATTATCGATGATGCAGGCACTACATAATTTAATAAAAAATATTATTTAGTAATAAGAAATAAATATTATTAAGCTAGAAGACACGCAGATAATCAACCTCGCTGGTCTGTGTACCTGGGGCTAGGGGTGTTAAGACCACAAGGATGATGAGGTGTGTCTATTTTATAACATTAATATTTAAATAAATTCTTAAGAACTTTATTTATTTATTTACTTTATATTTATTAAATAATTATTAAAAAAAAAAAATCTTTTATAAGATCACAAGCAGCTTGTAATTTTTGTAAGGATTTACAATTAAATACAAAAGTAATTTGTTAATCATTGTGATTTTTATAGAGTGGGGTAAACTCAGAAATCTAGTAAATGTTACTCTGTCGCTTATTAAAAAAATCTGCATCATGGAACATTTTGGCCAGTTTGATAGTTGCAATTTTAATAAATGTTAAATAATGAGGGTTTGTCAAAATCAATTTTATTACTGCTTACCTAAATTTAAGGCAATTATCTCCTTCAAATATTCAATCTTACATAATACTCTTATAATATGATAATATGGTTTCAAACAATGGCACATTAGATATTTTAGATGTCGATTATTAAATATAAACAAAAAATCGTCCATAAAAGATAAAAAAAATTATATGAATATTCTGGTAGGGAGCAATAATATATTATCCTTATTTATGAGTCATTAAAACAGTGTGAAATTTATTTGTCCCATTAGAATAACATTTTTAAAGAGAAAGAAATTATACCAGTAAGATGCTCATCTGCTGTATAATTAAGAGCCAATAAAAGCTGTTAAAAAATATTATAAGGGTAAACTGAAGGAGGTGGAAAGATTTGTTTAAGCCTGATCTGGCAGAGTTGGGTTTAAATGACGCTTGGTGGATGGAAGAAAGTAACCATGGATTGTGTCTATTTTATAAAAAAAAGTTATGCTTATTGAAGTTTAGATGTAAATAATTAAAAGCTGATTTTATGTTAATATATAGTTTTATAAAATGAAACACTATTTATTGTTTAATCTGGGGTTGTTTAATTTTTTTTTTTTCAAAACCCATTGCGGTTCAATTTGTTGACATTATTAGACTGTTTCTACTAGAATTTTAATAATGTTCATTAGCACTAACAACAGTCGACATAAGACTATAGAAATGTAAAATAATAAATATAACATTTCATATGGGTTAAGCCATTTTTAAAAGGGGGACTTGAAATGAAATTTAACTTACATTCTTAATCATTTTCAATATGACTGGAACTATCATTTTTGAATGTTTTTGTGTTATTTTGAAACTATAACTTTTTCCATGTAAATTTTCAATTAAAGGTTTAAAAAAACCTTCATTTTCAGAAAAAATTTGTTCATAAGCTCTGTTATAGCAATTTGTTTAGTGAAAAAGTAAAATAATATAATATAATATAATTATGCTATATAAAAATAATATAATTATGCTATAGATTATCTTTAATGTAAGCCCAATTACTGCTTATTTCTTATTTAACATTACTTTTTTTAAAGTACTAAAATAAATAAAAGTCAAACTTTTACACAAATCCAGAACTTTCTTATAAAATATTTCTTTAAAACTTCGGTTTTAAATTTTTTTTTACAAAAAAGTTCCATCAAAACTATTTAAATAAAATTTTTTTGAAAAGTTTCAATCTGAGATTAAAAACAACCAGGGACAAATAAATGTTTAATTTTTTCAGTTAAATATCTCTTAGAAAAAACTTTTTTTTCTGATTTTATTCTTATTAGTTACTTTATACCAGTAAAAAAAAAAAACATTATTAAAGTTACCATGTTAATTTACTATTTCTTTCTGATGTAAAGAGTATCACTGTGATTTTAAATTTAAACTTAATCTGAATATTAATTAAATTTTCTTTAATGCTAAATAAGAAGTATCGTATAGTCAGGCTCATTATAATATTGATATTTTTATCCAAATGTACTTCATTCAGCAAGTAATCTGATTATTATGAAGAAAGCTAATTACCCATAATTTTGAAATATCAACCATTCAATACAAGTACATTTTATTCTTAGTAAGTAAATAATTAATTGTAATGATTTAGCAATTAAATTAAAATATCTGTGAACTATGGAAATTAGAAATAACAAAAGAGAAGCTCCTTGCACTCAAGTTCAAAATACTACAATATTCTTAAATTTAACTATTGCGAAATAGGATTTTATCGAAAATCTTAAAGCAAAGAAATTAACTATATCTATAGATATTTTCAAAAATTTTAGATCACCTTTCAAAAAATTTAATGAATGGAATCTTATTATATTTTGGCTAACAAAAATAGAAATATAAGACCTCATAACAATAAATATATACATCATTGTTTTCATAGACATATTTATTATGTCCAAGGTTTTTTGGGTGCAGTAATTCACTCCAGGATATTCTCAGTTATGTGATCATGATTAAATCAATCGTCAGTGATTATAGATTCCCTTTTAATCTAGTTATTGCCTCAAGTACTAATTACAAGTTTCTAACAACGTGGAGGATCAAATAACAGACATGAATTAAAATTCTAAAGAATCTTAAAGATGTATGTACATATATGCATATGTATCTATACATTTGCTTAGTTGAAACAATGGCTTCCAAGTTAAGTTCAAGTTATTAATTTTTTTGGAATTCACTTCCAAAATCATTTTTTATAGTTTTTATATACTGAGTTAAGAACTCACGAATCAAGAATATACCATGGTACAATATAAATCTGTGCATTTCCATTTATTCATAAACATTTTTAAAAAACATCAAATTTTCTTGTGGAATTGGTAGAACCATCATACGAGATAGATTTAAATGATGACCTATTTATAGGAGTAAGGTTGAGAGATGAGTATCAGATCAATTTTTTTTATATAAAGGTTAAAACCTGCACAAACTTTGTTTATAATCTTATAAACAATAAATTTGATATTGTAAATAAATATTTAATCTTATTAATAAATGCGATGTGACTTATATGGTAAAATGTTTAACTAGGGTAAATATGGATGTTTCCAAGTATTTTGAAGCTTTTTTAAAAGGTAAAGTAGAAATATCAAATTGATCTCGGATGACTTCAAATTGACTCTGCCAAACTAGAAGGCAGACTGGAACCGCAGCTAGCTGTTGGGCCTCTGGCTGTGTCGTCAGGGACCCTGGTGGCCGTTGGCGAAGGTAGTGAGGACCGTACACTCTTGAACGGTGGTGTCGTTGCGCCTGATCGTACTTTGATGAAGGTGGGCCAGAGTTGAGCTGTCCCAGGCTCTCCTGTTGTGGCGGCTCTCCTCGCTATGCCCTCTCCAGCACAATAAGTACCTGCAAAAATCATGTATTGCATGTAATATTAACTGTAATAGATCATGTAATATTGCAGTAAAGTTTATAAAATTTGAAAGTTTTAATACATATTAAGCTTCTAATCTTTAAACATTCGTCAACTTAAAAGTGTCCTTTTTTTAAAATTATTATTATTAATGTGGGAAATATTAATTTTTCAAAATATTTCTAATCACTAATGTTAGTGCAAAAGGTCTTTGTAAAAACTGATTTTTTTTTTTTACAGAAAAAAATAATAAAAACCCATTATTTCTTTATGATTTACTAGTATAATCTCATATTTTATTTCCCTATTTATCAGACCAGTTAGACTATAAAATTTCACCTTTTGCACAAAGAGAATAACATCTAAAATTTTTACAACAATCTTTTACACTAACAGTACCAATATAATCTATTAATATATTTTTCGAAAATTCAGGGAAATTATTTTTAAAATTTGGACATGCAAAGAAATGAAAACTTAACATAACATTGTTATCACAATTTGATTAAAAACAACTACACCAGAGATCACTAGCAGATTCAGAATTTAATTTTGGGGGGGCTTCAGCCTGAAAGTTTTTTTTTCATATATATATAACAATAATTAATTAGAAAAAAAAAGAAAAAAATTAACAACCTATATGAAATGGTGTTTAAGTGGTTCTTGAAGTTCTATTGAATATAATTATAATTATATTCTTTAATTATAATTAACCATTTTGGGGGAGGGGAGGCTTCAGCCCGAAAGCCTCCCCGTAGATCCGCCTGTGCCAGAGATTCAAGTTTAATTGATAAGTATAGTTGTTAGTCTATGTAAAGTTTCACTTAAAGTCATTTAGTATTTGAAATATCATCCATTTTTTTTTATTATAAATTTTATTATTTATAACCCTTTGTTATATAGAGGATTACATAACATTCTTTGTGGCATTATTTCACATCTTCTGAACATTCTTTACAAAAATTCATGACTTTAATGAAACATTTTAACATAATTTACACATTCTTATTTAACTATCTTTATAAAGTAAAAAATTAAATATGTACCCTGTCATTATAGATGACGATCCTTCCACGATCCTTATATTATTATTATTTATTATCTACATCATTTCTATTAAATAATCTGTTTTTAAAATTAAATACTGCTTATCTGTCATTATTTGATATATCTGTGTAATGGTATGTTTAATTTTTTTTTGTATCATTTTTAAAATTAATGTTTTTATCAACAATTGTTATATGGATTGCTTCTAATATTTTTCTAGTTTTTGTTATTATATCACTGTTTAATATTATTGGTTTGTCAAAATCAAAGTTATGATGGAGTTTTAGATATAGATAGATAGAAAATAACTTTAACAGTCCCTTGAGAATTACAAAATAGAACAAAATTAAAAGATTACATCAGGCCAAAATAAAATAAATAGAAAAAAAGAAGTTGTTTTATTGAGTGTGTCTGTAATGTGCTATTAGTGTTTTTTATGTTATTCAATTCTTGCTTTCTTCTTTTTATTTTTTTATTTTTAGAGATTTCTCCTATGCAATTTCTATTACATTCCAGGCAATGCGGTCCATATTCAATCTACATCCAGTCTATCATAATTTCACACAAAGAATTCAACTCTATGCAAAAAGAATAGTATAAAAAAAATTACATACCAACTTGAATTAAAATAAAATAAAATTTAGTTATATTAAAATTTGGAACTAACTTGTTGAAGTATTTCCTGAATGTACCAGACACCCAGTACAGAGCGATCGGGTTGACGCAGGAGTTGATAAAGGTGAGACAGAATCCAACAATGCGGAAGATATGCCAAAAGTTATTGTAGCTCATTTGGGCTTTTGGATAATTGTAAAACCAAAGCATGAAAATGTGGTGAGGAAGAAAGCATATAGCAAAGACTACAACAAATGCCAGTACAGTTTTAGCCACCTTCTTACGGGCTCTGATCTGTCTGGCTTGTCCTTGAGCTTCCCCTGGCATATTTCTTGTCGACAATACCAAATGATGAGCCATCAGGATGTAGAAGAAACCTATGATGGTGAGGGGTATCGCGTAATAAACCAGAAATTTAGCCATAACTATAGATCGTGAATAAAATGGCCCCCACTCTTCAGGAAAGGGGTAACATGTCTCGAAAAGTGTGACATTGTTTGGATCTTTGAAAACACGGATATAGGTTCCAATAGCTGCCGGAGAAGCACAGAACATGGCCAGGAGCCATATCGCGATCGCTATCATAATGGTGCATCCGGTAGCTCCTTTGCCACCAATGGACGAATACAGCTTCCGCATGGGATCGACTATAGCGAAGAACCTGTCGGCGCTGAGTGCGGTCAGAGTGAAGACGGAAACTCCGATGGAAATGTCTTTAGCGACCTCTGATAGCTTGCAAACGAACAGACCGTACGGCCACGTGCTGAAGGTGTATACTGTGGATGTGAAGGGCACGCAGGTGACGATGACCAAGAGATCACCGAGCGCCAGGCTCAGTATGTAAGTGTTGGGGACGTTGCGCATGGTCTTGTGCCTGATGAAGATGAGGACCAGCGTTCCATTGCCGAGTACCCCGACCAAGAATATGAAGGCGAACAATATCGGCACGATGTATGTCTCTGGTCTTTCCGAGTAGGGGATAGGTTCTTCATCGCTGGTCGCGTTGAACGTGTCGTTGAGGTCCAAATCTCCCATGACGTCTTCTTCTTTTCCTCTCGGATAGTCTTTATTCAGATGTCAATGCCACATGACAGACTTTTGTATGTTCTCGAAATTCGAAGATGCTATGTCCGATCGTTCTTAGATCTGAAACAAAATAAATTATTTACATTTAATTAGATCATATTGCTAGTATGGAGTGATTAATTAAATTCCATTTAAAACTAAAGATCTATTCAAACCTAACTAGAGTAGACTATAACTATAACTCGAATCTTTGAGTGGCATTATTTTCATTCTTTATTTACCAATTTTTATCGGAAGTAACCAAGAGAAGATTGAGAGACTCGCTAAGACTCATAATAGAACCAAAACAAATCAACAATATGTTATTTATTTTTATTAGTGCCCTCAACTGGTAAACTTTTGAGTTTTTATTAATTTACTTATAATTGAGAGTTATAGCTTTATTTTGGAATTTTCCAAATATTTCATAAATTGGGCAGTCATACATGTTCTTTTTGATTTTTTACATCTTAAAATATGAGAAGAATTGAAAATTTGACTGTTGATTCTCAGCGCAATATTTACCATATGTAATAAACACTTGCTAATCCTCTATGAGCTAACAGTGTTTGTTTATTTCCCAAGTACGCGCACATTTCAAATGTGACTTTCAAACGATCTATTTTTATGAGTTCAAATTTAGTCATCCGCTGGAGCGCTTACCATAGTCGTTGGCTAAAGTTTATTGAAAAATGTGGTAAATATTTTGAATAATATATATTTGATTTGTTTGATATTTTTTTCCGTTTATTTCCTGTTTCTAAAAACGGTCATTTCATGACGTTTAGTCATGAATAATTTTTGAATAGCTGTATCATTGCCCGATTAAACAACCCTCTTGGGATTAAAACTTTTTTTTTTTTTGAATTAAAAACATTAAAAATACAACAAGTAAATGTGACATTGGTAACATGACATGTACAACATGAAGAGAAACTACCCATTGGTAGAACTCAAATTAAAGTTCTATATTAGAAGGCCCCGAGGCCATCTTCTTTTCAGACGCCTCGGAGTGGGATTAAAACTTAGATGTAAAACATTTCATAGCGAATGGCAGATTTCGATGTATCAGAGAACTGGAAATTTGCTTTCCAAGCGATGGTATATTGCCTCTCCTCTACAAGCAAATACATTCATATTTATTCATATACGTAATTAATGGCGGTATATATAAAGAGGTTTGTATGTTTACCATAACAAACATGCTCAGACAGGTTTCGCGAAGCCAGAGTCGTGTATTAATAGAGAAAATGATAATTAGAATGTCATGGGCGAATAATGTTATGATGATTCAACGAGGACCCATAACGCGGCGTGTATTAAATGAACCTTAAAATAAATTTAATTGCAAAAATAATACAACAAATATATAAAATAAAACTTATGTATTAAATATTTAATATAATTATAAATCATTGTTATAAATCATGTATTAAAATGTATTATAAGTAAAAATAAAAATATTTTCAATTAACTATAAAATATGATAATTTTTAAAATCAAATAGAAATTGAAATTGAAAACAAGACAGAAAACACATATCAACTTAAACTTTTATTTTTTCAGTCTCACACGATACACGCCCAGATAAAACCCACAAATCCACATACTTTATTCCACGATTATTGAAAAACTTTTTTTATAAATTCGAAAAGATCGCTAAAACCGTTGAGAACGAAATGTACCGGGTACATATTTTGAGAGAAACTTTAACCATTACGCTATTTGCAACCATTAAGTGCAGTATGGCTCAGCATACAAAAAACAAATAATAATATAAACAAATTAATAAATCGAAACAATTTTCCAGGAAAGGGATAATTATATTTAAAAAAAAAAAAAAAAAAAAGACCTCAATGTTCCATATGTTTCCGATTTGGCCAAATCCAGATACCTATCCTTCCATAATAAACTTCATAACCATCCGAATCCTCTTGTTTCTAACCTTGCTCCCTCTTCGATTCCTGATAACCCTCCGAGGCGTCTGAAAAGAAGATGGCCTCGTGATCTTCTCATGTAGACAAATTATTAGAGTGCTACCAGTGGGTAGTTTCTCAACAAACGTGTTTCATGTAAGAATATTTCTCTGTACAAATTTACTAGATGTATTCATACTAATACAGTAGTAAATATCATAATAAAAGTTAAAAAAAAAAAAAATAAAATAAAAAATAATTTTTATTTTTGTTAGGACGAATATAACAAGCAGGTATAGGAGACAAAACAAAGGAAAAAAAAAATCGAAAAAATATTCGAGGAAAGAGGAAATTACATTTCTTGTTTATTCACTATTCTATAAAAAAAAAAAAAAAATTAAAATTTCAATGACTAGAAAGATAACTTTAGCACATCGTTTTCCTCATAGTGTTTCATAATTAAAAAAAATATATACAATATTCAAAAATTCACGGACGAAACTTAAAATAAAAAATGATAAACAAATATCTTGAGCAATATCACAATTTAGTCAAAAAAATAAATCCTCTTTAAAGCTAACTTTAGTGCCCTCCTAAGCTGGTCTTGACGATAAAGAGGATGAAGGATAGTCTGTTTAATGATAAATTGGTTCCTTAATCTTTATTAAGGAAAATTTTTGTCCCTTCTTTAAGAAAGCTACTTTTTTCTAAAGAGAAAGATGGAGATTTAAAAAGTAAGAAAATATCGAATAAGGGTTAAAAAAAAACTAGATGTACAATAAATCATCGATTAATCATAACTGTCATCTGTGTTTATTTTATTAATTTTTTTTCTTAGCCCTTTATTTACTTTTTTGATGTGTTCCATGGTCTAAATATTCTCCTTCTGTTGCATATTTTTCCTTTTAAGGAGGTTTATAACCTCATGATAAATTCCTTGTCTATTTATATATTTTCTAGTTTCTGATAAGGCGATGGGGCTGCCATATCTTTTTGTGTTGAACTTCCACTAAAATTTAAAATAAATTGAATTTGAAACATCTTTTGCCAACGTTGAGAAGGTTTAAGCTGTTTGAATTATGGATTAGTCATACCTTTCACTGATTGATAAAATTTGGAATTTTTTAAATTTATGAAATCATTTATTTTTGGTATTTTTAATTTTTCTTAAAGTGATAACGTTTTAACTGTATGATCCCCAAAAGAACCAGAAATTTTCACTATCAATTCCAGTTGATTTCAGTATTTTCAGCGCCGAACTATATGCCATTCTTAACGCCATAATATACAGCGAAAACACATATATCAACCAAAAAATAGTTATTCTGACAGACTCCGCAACGGCATGTAAACACCTTAAATTAATCTACCAAAATACCAAAGCACTGACACACATTTCCTTTAAAATTATATCTCTGATACATAACTCCAGCAACAATTACTTTTTTCAGTGGGTGCCGGGACACGTAGGAATATCAGGAAATGAAATTGCAGATAAAACGGCAAATCAAAACCAACTACACCGAATAAACGCGAAGGTCCCTTTACTTGACTTGATAAGAGTAGTGAGGGGGAAAATAATGAAAGACTGGCAGCATTTCTACGACTGGGAATGTGCCTCGAAGGGTAAGGACCATTACGCAGTTCAACCGAAAATAGCACTGATTCCATGGTTTGCGACTCTTAAATCTCATCTCGACCGCTCCAGCTTAGTAAAGCTGACCAGGCTTAGGATAAACCACGGTAGAACAAATAAATATCTTCATCTAATGGGGCTAGCTGAGAGCGGTCACTGTCCAACATGCCAATGCTTGGAGGATCCAAGACACATTGCCTTCAAGTGCAAAAGGTTCGAAAAGCGAAGAAGAATTAGTTTAGGGTCGCAAACTACGGATGATGGAGCTAACTTTCTTCGGTCACTGAACAAAGATAACGCTCGTGACTTGTTAAAGTTCATGAATGACATCAAAGCAGTCATATAATAAAAGTCGGCACTTAGTTAATTGCAATTCTAATTCATCTCAGTTTTTAACCATTAGTCTTGCTAGTTTCCATAATATCTAATATCTAATAATATAATAACTAATATCCAAGTCCCATATAAGTCACTTTCAGTTATCATCTAACTGTAAATAATTAATATAAATCCAGTGCAATTTCCTTCTAAAAACCGTAATTTCATCTCACTATGACAAACAAAATATTTTGCTGGCAAAATAGGACTTGCTTTTACAAGTCTTAAAGCCAAAAAAAAAAAACAAAAAAAAAAAACAACGTTTTAACTGTTAGCACGGCCGTTCCTTTGGTTATTTTTCTTAAAATTCCATTTTGAAATTATTGTAGCCGCTTTTCTGTGGATTCTGTTAAAAATGAGCACAAAGAGCTGTGATAAAGTAGTGTTGGTCGTATTATTGTTTTATATATTAAAACTGTATATATTGTATAAATGTACGGCTGTGTTTTAATGTTTTTAATTACTTATCTTTAAGTTATTTTATTTTTTTTATTGTACATAATTTTTAGTTATTATTTTACTTTTGTTAATTTTATATTTTCTTTATATATGGTGTGAATGTGTTCATTTATCACTATAATTATTGTACGCGAGACAGAATGTTATATATATATATATAAAAATGTAAATATTAAAAGGTTTAGACGCGTTGAAATGCTTGTGGGGTATAATAGATGTATTAGTCTGTAAGATTTCTGTCCCACGCTTTTAATTTTTTTACTAACGTGTGCAGAAAACGTTAAATATCTGTCAAATGTAATGCCTAAACAAACGATGTGTTTAAAAAGTTTGTTTTCACTGTTTTTTATCAGTGTTTAAAATTATTTATTAGTTTTTATTTTATCATATAAATAATATTTATTGAGAAGGAATATTGATTTATCTTTATATCTCAATGTTACTTCTTAATTCGTTTGGGGTTGTTAACGAATGTTTGACTGAATAATTTAAATTGATTTGATGGAGCTCAGTTTCTAATAGAAGATGAGAAAAATGCCACACCAAAATACCGTTGGTCATTGTCGATATCAAACATGACCGATTTATATTTTCTTTTAGGGAGTAATGGGAATAGTGTTGACCGACCAATCAGCAAATAGCAGCACCCTCAAAGGAAAGAGA